TATATATATATATATATATATATATATATATATATATATATATATATATATATATATATATATATACAAACATACAAAAAGTAAAAGAAAGAAAGTAGAAAAAAGGAAAATAAAGAATAAAAAGGCAAAGAATGAATAAAAAAATAAGCTGTGAACAATTCAAACTGTTTACAAGCTTTAAAGCCACTCTATCGCCTAAGGTAAGCTTGCTTTTACAGTTTCCTGCTGCAACTCTCAATGGAGTATTCCAACTTTTATATAGACAGCATTTCAGCTTTGACTTACACTGCTGCCATACATTCTAGCACCTCTCTATGGACATGACTCATGCAGACTGCTTTGTGTTTCCTTCAATTTTAATTTCAGAGCGAGACTGTCTTTTACAGATGCAGCCATCTAATGTCATTTTCAAGACACTTCTTGGCAGCAGCCTTATGTTTGCTGCTGTCTCTGTCTTAATCTCTCAGAGCTCATAAAAAAAAAACTTCAAACTTTCATGCGTTTTATGGTTCCATACAGTATTTTCAATATGTGCTCTGAAAACACGGCGGTGTTTATAATTATTCCTCCATGTAAGGAGATCGCATGTATGTGTGTGTGTTTAACAGGCGTTGGGATGTTTGTTTTCTATCCCCTTAGGTTCGTTGAAAGTGTGCTTTGTTCATTTTCATTTTTACCTTTTACTTGTGTTTCAAGATGAAGTTGAAAGTCGTTATGCAGCAGGCTTTGCTTCTAGTGTACTCATGTCTGGAGATGAGTTTTAATTAGGAAGGGTGCGATGTAAATATATTGTACAGCAGCGTGTTTTTGTGAATATATATCTTAATTGCAGTTGAGGTGCGATAATGATGCCCTAGTTACTTTTACCTATTGGTTCATATCAGCTGTACTCTTTCTGTTTTTTCTCAACTTCACTTCCTCTGTTAAAGTAACACATTTTGGTGTCAGCTTGTTAGTGCAACCTCCAGCCTACACCTTTACATTTGGATGTGTGAATTTCACTGTACTGCAAAGAAAAAAAAGGAAAACTATTGGTTTGCATCATAATTCTTAAGATGCATACTTTTATTCTGCTTTCTGACACAGGATTAGAATTTAGGCAAACGAATGTTGATAGACAATCCTGGTGAAGTCTGGAACTTAGATAATTAGATATTAAATTTGGTCTAGTACTTGTGTGAGGAATGACAGTTTATGGAAATAGCATCCAAAACAGTCTGCATCCCATAAAAAAGCTGTAACTATCTTAACTAACTATTAATTTTTAATCTATCTTTCCATTTATCCATTATTTATTTGTTTATTCTTTTCATTAGTGTGACCATGCATTCAACGATCCCTCCAATGATACACCTGGTTGTCTTTTATCAGTCAATATATCTTTGTCCATCTTTTGTCTGTCCCCTTAACTTCCGTCCATCCATCCATCCATCCATTCCTCCATCATCCATTCATCATCCATCCATCTATCCCTCATCCATCCATCCATCATCCATCCATCTATCCCTCATCCATCCATCATCCATCCATCAATCTATTCATTCACCCATCATCCATCCAACACCCTAACTCTCTTTACTGTCTGTTGATACACGAAAACAGGAGGTCATCATTAAACTGGATATGCTTTTTCTTATGATCCAAAATAACTTATTGTCTAAGGAGGTCCCCTCATCGTTGTTAGGAACCGTAATAACGGCTTAAAAAGAACAAAGACATTATTCCTTTTGACCTTCCCTATCTTCAAGCATCTCCCAGGCTGATATTTTAGTGGTTTTAATGAAGAAGCAAAACAAGGGGCAAATGCAGATTTGTCTGCTTTTCCTGCTTATTAAAAGGATGTCTGAAGTGATGTGTGTATTTATTTATTTAAGGATCCCCATTAGTCCCTACGAGAGTAGAGAATCCTTTTCCTAGGTTCCATCTTCAAAAATCATCACAATCATTACACACAACAAACTAACACTAGAAACAACATTATTAAAAAAAGACAATCAAAACAAACCAAAGAAAAGCAAAAACATGCCCTATGATGTCCCTATTTAAAGAAACAGAATTTCCTTATTAATTACAGATTTCTTAAGATTCAATTTTAAAGACATGATTTTTTATAAATTTCATATTTTGTGGCAATATATTCCACAGAGAGATAGACCGGAGTTAAAATGTGTTTTTTAATGCAGTAGTTCTTGGAAGAGGCAGAGTCAAAGTCAGATTAACAGCTTGTCTTGTATAAAGCATGTGTCTGCGTTAAGTCGGCTGTAATTTAGAGAAAAGGCTGAGGGGTTTGTTTGAATTCCAGACTTTATGCAGAGACACCAAAGACTACGAACCCAATCTATCTTTGACTTTCATCCATGAATGTCTATGATGTATATTGCTCCACTTGTGACCAAAGAGGTTTTTGTTTGGTACGAGAGTACCATAACCCCCCCATCCACCCCGACCCCGGATATAAAGATTTTATTCAAGGTTTGCCAATGCAAGTGCCCAAAGTGTGCAAAGGTAGTTTGTCTAATTCTCATAGATGATCCGACTCTTTTCTAATCAAACACAAAACCATAGTTTTCTTAGTCCCTCTTTATTGTCTGTTTTCCAGGTGTCAGTGGTATTTCAAGGCAAAGATGACCTCAGAGGACAAAAGAAGGACTGACTATCAGAATGGACATGGTAAATCAGTTTGCCTACCACATGCTTTTTTTAGTTTGGATGGTTAATCTCTTGGTAAGAAGCTATGAAAAGACATCTGCCTAGTGAGGATTTTGCTTTCCTTGGTCTGCCGCTGCAGTCTGCCAGTAAACAGGGAGCAAAAAAGCTGAGAGGCATTCAGTGAGTCACATTTAGTAGCTAGCCACCTGCTCTTTTCTTTGCATTCAATGTGCATGCTGGATGGATCACTTCCCATGTGGATCTGTTCCTGTGCATGGTAAGCTCAGCTCATGTATGAAAGAGTTCACAATGAGATCATGTGGAACTTGAGCAAAGATGAATTTAGTTTCTAATGATGCAGAAAATGTTTTAACTTTTTATTTATTACTGTTGTGGTTAATCTTTGATTTCACCTCCTCCTCAGCTTTCACCTATTAAAGTAAAGTAAAGCCAAAATAATTAACATTTAAACAAAAAAAACATCTTCAAAGTTTTGTGTTCATTTCTATTCATTTAGCTATACTGTGATACCCCATAACTAGCTTTATTAGTCAATAAGAAGAAAACAAGCCAGTTTGTCATTATCTGGGAATGGAGGATGGCAAAACAACAAACTTACCATGACCTGGTTGTCTATCTTAACTGAGAACTCAGGCAAAAAGAACAACATTCAGAGAATCCGCCTTGATGGCAACTCTGGAGAACCTGCTGATATTCACAGCTAAGGTGGGAGAATCTGTCAACAAGACATCAATGACTTGTCTCCCAAACAAACATATTCGGTTATTGGACTTACGATTTTTTCATTAAAACAATGTAGCATACACAGTGAAAGAGGACCACACAGACACTCTATTGGTATTTTCCTCTCCATCACAAAAGTCCTTCTAGTTAATATTGCAATTCCCACTGGCCCAGTTGTAATAGAGAGCCCTGGCCTGGTTCATGACAGCTTTAAGTGACCATTCTCTGTCATGCCGCAGCACCACCAAACTGGAGCGAGTGGTGGTCTGCGTCTCTGAGCAGGACCCTTAAACCCTGATTGCTCCCCGGGTACCCCACCATGGCAGCTCACTGCTGCCCAAGGGGATGGGTTAAATGCATAGGTTCATTTCTCCAATGTGAGATCAATAAATTTCAATTATTTGACCATAATAGTTGGCTCATCTGCTTATTATAATGGAGAGAGAAAACAATCGGAAATGTGGTCTGTATGAAGCAGCCATTTCGGATGTTATCCCAATAAATGGCTGTTATTAGCGGTTATCAGTCCCATAGAATGCCTTCAGACTGTGCCTCCTACCTAACAGTTGGCTCAGTAGGTTATCACCGAATGAATTCTAATCCTATCCCTAAGGTAATTCCTTTTTTACCCGTATAATTATTCTATTTATGTTTAATCTGAACATAATCTTGGTAGTTCTTCCTCTATTGTAAAAACAAAAGATGATCGGCATGTCGCTCATATAAAAAAAAAACCTCCCAAAAAAGTCTTGTATCTTGTCAACTGAGTTGCTTTTAAACACCACATTATATCATTGTAACTGAAACATGATTTTACTTGTAGTAAAGCTTTAAAATGCAGCTTTTTAAAAGAAAGTAGGCTGTAAATAAAGTAGATAAAAAGTATAAAGAAGTAGTCTTAGACTACTTCTTTATACTTTTTATCTACTATTACTAGACTCTAGTAAACTAGCCCCAACCGCCAGCGGCCAAATTCATTTTTGCCTGCGAGTTGGCCTAGCCTCGGTCAATGCCCCTGGCCCTACAACTGGCGGGCCAATCACAATGCAGAGGTATGTTTTGAATTTTTTAGATGCAAAGTGGGCGGGGTTTTGAGGGCGTGACGACAAACCTACAGTACACGACGGAGAAAGCACAACAAGGAAGATGGCAACAACTATTGAAGAGTAGCATTCACTGCAGCAGCAGCAGCTTTCAATGGAGCGCTTCATTGAAAATTAAAGGTTCTCTTCTGCTGCTGTTGTTCGATAAAAGTACGTTTTAAGATAATTTGAGAGTAGAATATTATACTTTAATGCGTCACTATATGGTCCATTTACCGATTTAATGCGTAATTAAAAAAAACAATTGGTCAGAGTGTTGGCCAATAGGCACAGACATGCTTTGAAAAACAACGGGAGCCTGGAGCCATTTTATGGAATTGATAACTGCTAATAACGGCCATTTAATGGAAACAGGTGGTATGAACCTCAGGTTAGGCTTCTTGTTTTAGATGTGTTCCTGCTTAAAACACAGCTGAAACAAATGAACCGCTAATTAGAAAATTCCAGCAGAACTTGGTAGATAGATGGCCAAGGAAGATATTCAGTAGATCTGCCCTAAAATACCTGCAGCTGTGATAAGATAGAAAAGAGAAAGAGAAGAGGGTGAAACATTTGTGTAAACCACACTCATAATTTCTATGAAAAAGTCTGAGAATCTTGTATCATTACCTTCTACAGTGCCATATAAAGCTGCCTCAGTTTATAAACTACTTTGAATAATACTAACTGCGGTTTTATAATTGTGCTAAACTTATTCTGGGGTCTGTTTGACAAAATCTAAAAAACGCACATACATTTTTGAGGATGTAAAGTAACCAAATAGGAAAAGTTCTAGGTGCATGAATGCTTTTTACAAGATACTTTATGCACAAAGTGAAAACAAGGGTAGAAATGTTTGCAAAGTGAGGATAGGAAAAGACAAGTATACAGAAAAAAAAAAAAAAAAAAGGAAAAGGGCAATTGGGTTGAAAGTCACTTTAGAACAGAACAAAGAGGAATGAGGAGTATTTTAAGATTTGGGTCAGAGAGCAAGGACGGTATAAAAAACGGCAAAGGAAAAAAACAAATTTTCAACCTAATTTTAGGAAGAAATACCGTCGATGATGATGCTTTGTTAGGAGCTGCAGGGATTTTACCTCTTTTACTCCGCCGGGTTGTTGTTTTGGGTGTGTTGATCCTGTATTGATCCCAAATGGAAAACAACTACTCTTTTCAATGGCCTCCCTCCTCCGGGAGGTCAGGGTCAAAGGCAGAACAGCAGCAACGGCCAGTAAAACATTTACCTGCTTGTTCAAGGACGCTTTAGCAGGGCGGATGGTTGATTGAAACAGAGACAAAAACTTGTGCCAAGTTAAATGACTGGCTCAGCGCTCAGGGTGCTGCCCTGCTGATTTTCAGCAAAAAGACCTACGCTCTGAAGGGGAGAGGATATCGAACCATGTACTGTAGCTCGATCCCACACTGTTTGTGATCAATACCAATGGTTAAATGTGTCTTTTTCAATCTGAAACTTGTGTCTCAAGTGTGACTAAATGATTGTTTCTGTTGTTTGATTACTGTAATTCCATAGTTTTGTGAAAACAGGCTGATATAGAAAATGTGTTAACACATTTTTTTTCCCAAATAGTTCCTTTTCCAGGAACAAAGACATATGTGGACCCAGATACGTATGAAGACCCCTCACAGGCTATCCATGAATTCACTAAAGAAATCGACCCGTCCAGGATCCGCATTGAGAGGGTGATCGGATCAGGTAGAATCACAGATGGGATGTTTCTGAATAACATTTTCTACGTGGGCAGAAAAGGGTCGTTTCACATCTGCAATGACAACAATGTTTATAGAAGATGATCAGCTCTCTTACTGATATGAGTACAATGAACCTCCTATGTATAAATCACACACAGTGTCTTGTATTTTATTCCACTGTCATTTCTTCACACTGAAGGGATTTTAAATCTTGAATTGATTTAGGGAGCCAAAAAAGGTGTTATTTTTCTATAATACATGTGAGAAAACACATGTAATGAAGTTTAACTGATAAAAGAAGTTATGATGCTGAAGATAAGCTGGAAACTGCAACACTGCCCCCAGGTGGCAGGCTTTGCTACAGGCTCATGGGGGGAATTTTGTCAAGAATATTCATGCCTTTGTTCTTTTACCGTGTTTAAATATGCAAGTGCAATTTCTCTTTAAAGCTGGCCAAACCGACAATGACTTATTTAGGGTTTAGGGAGGGTTTCCACGGAAAGTTTTCAAAGGAGTGCCGCAAATGCCGATCACATGCACTCTTCAAATGACAAACATTGAATTACTTTATTTATTTATAGTGCTGATTTAATTGATCCCAATTGTATCGATATACTTTCCAGCTGGCATTAAAAATATATCTAGAACAATTCATTCATAGAGAATCGATAAACGGTAAAAGTAATCAATAAAAGAAATAGAAACAGTAAAGGAGGTAATATCTGTGTCATATTAAGCTATAGCAGAATTTTGTGTTGAGGATTTATATCTTTATATTCATGTGTATTATGTGCTTTTTGTTTTTTGGAGAAAAAAGCAGAAAGACATCAATGAAATCAAAATTGTATAAATAAATGCATTTTGTGGCTGATTGAAGCTTTTCAATCAGCTGTAAAATGTATACTGTCTTAAATTTATATTCATAGGAAACATTGAAATAGCCTCAAAGCCTGGATTTAGATTAAAGTTCAAGCAAATGATTCAGTGTAATCACCATTGAAATGCTGGAAACTAGATTGTGTGTGTGTGTGTGTTTTGTCTTGCAGGGGAATTTGGTGAGGTGTGCAGCGGCCGTTTGAGAACACCTGGGAAAAAGGAGATTGCGGTAGCAATAAAGACTCTAAAAGGCGGTTACGTAGAGCGTCAGCGGCGGGACTTCCTGCGCGAGGCATCAATCATGGGCCAGTTTGATCACCCCAACATTATCAGGCTGGAAGGAGTGGTCACAAAAAGTAAGAGGGCGTTGATACTCTTGTTTTTGGACTTAAACAAAAAAAACAGGTTGTTTCAAAAACAGAAATCTATATTTTATACTGTCCCACTGTTGCTTTGTTTTTTACAGTAGATATTTGTTGCAGCATCTTTTATTTGCAGGGCTTTTTGCAACTTTATTCAACTAATTAAACTTTGGGTAGGCTATATTTGTGATTCTATAAAAGCCTTTAAAAAGTTTTCACACTTTTATTTTATCCATTTTCTCCACATTATAGCAACAAACTACCAGCTTTGCTCATCAAAAGCACCAAATTTTTACCCATAATTCTTTGCAAAGAGCTAATTTAGTCAGAATTTATGAAGATCATTTCCATCTCTCATCCATACCTGCTCACGATTTGTTCAGGAAGACTCTCCACGGGTCATTATGTAAGAGGATGTTCTTCCCTTTTGCTTTTAATTCACTCCATTCCCTGAGTATATTGTTTTTAGTGTGACCCGCAGTGTTAGTGTTCTACACATACTTCTGGTTGAAGGTAAAAAAAACAAAAGTTTTTATTTAATTTCAGTACAGCATTTTCTTCCACATTTTCAGATTTAAAAGGGTAAAGTAAAGTATTTGCATAGAACTTTCCGCAGCAAGGCAATTCAAAACGCTTTATATCATAAAAACATGAGAACAAATGTGAAGCAAAAACACAGAAAATCACCAAAACCACAGAATCATCACATATAATCATAAAAATCATCAACCAGATAGAATTGATAATCATAGGGAGATAAAATTTTCTATTTTGGCTGTTGCAGTTTTCTGGGATTTTTTTTTTTTTTTTTGCAGATTAAAGGTGCATACATCTGGAAGGTGCTTTTTCAATGTTTGGTTCTGGTCCAGGGGATATAAACTAGACTGAAACCAGAAGATTATTCAGGAAGGTTGATAAAATGATAGTAACTCTTTATTTGTATTGTGGTGCTAAACCATTTAGAAATTCAACAACTAATTGAAATATTTTAAAGCCTATTATCTGAGCCAATTTTTTTTCAATCCTGGTCCTTGAGGCAGCCTCCTCTGCATGTCTTGGATGTTTTCCAGATTTCCCACAGCTGATATCAATTGATAGTAGATTAACAGGCTTTGCTGGACTGCAATCATCTGAATCAGTCATGTTGAAGCAGACAAAACCTCTAAAACATGCAGGGTATTGTTCCTCCAGGGCCAGGTTTAAAAAAAAAACACTTCTGTGAGCTACAGATAACCAGTGTAAGCATTTTAAAACCAGGATGATGTGCTCGATTTTTCTAGTCTTGGTGAGAACACAAGCAGCAGTATTTTGGATCAGCTGCTGTTGTTTCTGATTTTTATTTTTTTTTCTGGCAGACCCATCAATGACTTTAAACCTATAGTGAACTAAAGCTTGTTCTAGCTTTATAAACAACAGCTCAGCAAAGTTAGTAGACTGTACCATGCATTTCCTCTTGTCAGCTTATCTTTACTCAACAGTAAACATTTAAAAATGATCAAAAATAATGAACAAAACAAATGTTTTGCTGACATTTGCCCGACCTGTACCTCTGCTCATCTCTGTTTGGAAAGCTTGAGTTTTCTCCAGCATTTAGCAACTTAACATGGCAGGCTCACAGCAGGGGTGTTCTTTGTTCCAGCAATGTGCACATCTGCAAAGCAATCCTCCTCCAGCCTTTCAAGCCTATCCAAGCATCTGAAAATTCCTAACAACTCAAAGAGAAATGTTGCAAACAGTCTGTATTGGAGCAATTTGGTTCTGAATATCAACCATCCCATTGCAACCAGTTAGCCCCTGGTCAGCAGCATTTGGTGCCTGGAGAGAAAGGCAGACTGTTGCTTTGTCCTCAAGGCACTGTGGGGGGGAAAGGCACACTTCTGTAGGAGTGTCTTATGAAACTTCCTTCGCCAGGCAAATCTTTATCTTCCTGAAACAATGGTGGTGTTTAATATAAAGCATAGGAGTGTAAATAATAATCGTTTTGTATCGATGCATCAATCCAACAGCCGAACGATCTGATGCATCGACACGTGCGCAAGAGAATCGATTCGGTTTTTTTATTTTTTTTTTATTCCTCCAGTGTTTTTTCATCTATTTGCTCCTGGACGTAATTCTGACTCCCGTGCTGCGGTGGCGCTCAACCTATTTTGCCCTCCTCCTTTAGCCACTACCCTCTTTCCACTTGCACACACACTTGCGTAAACACAGAGACATTATTATTTATCAGTCAATGAGGTTTTCATAGGTCTAGGTGGAGTACAACTTTGCTACTTCTGTTATTTGCTGTTGTTTCTCAAATAAAATGCAAAACGATATAACAGCTTTCATTGATTTATTTCAAATTTGAAACATTGTCTAACCCAGTGGTTCCCAAAGATTTTCTTCTGGGCCCCCCTTTGGATTACTATAAAATTTCCATGCCCCCGATTTTATGGTTGAGTTGGTGGGATGCAGCCATTTTATTTGCATTCTGTAAATTTGGGCATTGCATCCTTTTTGGGTTCGGTATGGATGACTTATTAAAAAAAATAAATGTAGATTGTAATAAAATAAATAACCATCATTAGCAAATTCCTGTGAAAACTATCCACACACCATGAAAGGTGTTTTCAGTGCAGTAACATACAGGAGGCGTCCTGGATTACCCCCTCCCTCTGTGTTTATCTAACCAATGAGTGTATAAAAAACATTTTAAGTAGTGAGAAAATAAAAAAGCTGGTCAGACAGAAAGCACATAAACAAGTATCCCTATTGCAATCAACAATCAGGGGGCACAAGCAGCCAATTAAGTAAAAGTAATAGAGAAGTTATTTAAGGCGCAGTTGACAGATAAATCGCTTTTAATTCGAAAAACAAAACAATTCATTAAATGGCTTTTCCTCAAAAAAACATTTGTCAAGGTAAAATCAATGGTGGGTTTTGCTTTACTTGACATATTTGTTTTTCCTTACATCTGGGAATCTGACTTGCATGTTTGTGTTAGTTTATGTTCCCCTGTTTGCTTTGAGCAGAAATCCATTGTATCCCCAAAAGATGTGTGAAAAAACTGTGAGAAAGTGAAAAAGAGGGTGAGGGGACGACTGCAAACTTGTTAACGAGCTTTGTTTTACTGGGCTTACCAGGCGCAACATATGGTTGTATTTACAGGGGGTGTATAAACTGAGACATCGCTGTGAATATAAATGTGTCCCCTGAAGGGTTTCAGCATCTCTCTGCATGCAGATAGAGGACAATCTCCAGCTCTGACCCTGCTGATAAAGACTCTACTGATAAAGGCTTTAAAAGGCAAAGATGGGCATTATTAAATTAGAGCTGCTTGTTGGCATTATTTCAACCATAGATTTCAATGTGAGTTTGATGATCTATTAAGTTAGCTGAGTAGGGATTAAAACCCTCTATACAGCAATATGATAAGTCTTGTAATAAAAGGCTTCTAAATGTATTTATCATGTGTGAAGGTTAAATATATGACAGATTTGATTTGCTTTTTTAAAGTTTTAAAGTTCGGCACCCTTACATGTAAATAGTCTGTTTTTGTGTCATAATAAAAAAAAAATGCACATTTGGTAATACTGGGTCATGACCCACACTGTGGCAGAATGAAAAAACTTTTTTATGACAGTCACTCAGGAGAGTAGTCATACTAATTAAATGCTTTTTTTATATCTCATTAAAACCACAGTCTACCATATATTTTAGCTGAATTGTAAATCTTAGACCATCACAAGACATTGAATAACTAAGTAATGCAAAGGAAACTATCTCTTTGTAAAAACTGTCATTTATTCTGAATAGAACTGCAAGAATGAGGGGTTTAATTAAAAGTTGCAATATTATTTTACAATAAGGCGACCCTGCTTTTTAATCAGGTAATTCTGATAGCATATGGTTGAACTGGATTTTATCCAAAGATGTCAGAACAAAGGCGGTTTTACCACTTCAAATCACACTACTTCAGATTTTCAAGCATTTTCCAAACGTATTATATTCCTTTGAGCTCAAAAGAATCCAAAACTTTAAAGTTGGCCAAGAAAAGTTTAATCTTTGTGATGATGGTGTTCAGTGAGTACGAATTTTGCAAGGCCGAAAAATTTGGCAAAAGAATAAGTTTATAATATCTTAATCTGAGCCATACTGGTAGATGAAATGTTGAAAGTATCCCGTAGGTTAAGGGTTTTACTTTTCCTTAAACTGAAAAGATTTAATGGAATGAGACATTGTGTTTTACACCAGTCTTCAACTTTTATGTTGAAGGTGATGCAAGTCATTCGTTTAGCATTATTAATGCAAAAGGCAAACAAAAGTGCTTTGTTGTGAATTAAAGGAAAATAAAAATTAAGGAATGATCTTCATCTTGTCTTTGTAATTGCACATAACAGAAAATGTGTTTTCTGTATTTAGGGAGCATCTTTTAGAACACAAGTCACCAAAACTCCTAAATCTTAATACCTGAATGGAAAATGAACCCTGAGAAATGCTGAGAGTGTGATGACAGATAACCACTAGACCAGGGGTAACCAATTACAAATCAGTAAAAATTGGGTTCGAATACAGAAAATCATCAACCAGTAAAGGTCTCGAGAGATTTTTTATTATGATCTGTTATTTTAAACAGAATTTAACTCTGAAATAAAAAGCAAGTTTTAATGCATCTATGTTATACATTGAAATTTTAAATAAAAAAAAATATTTAAAAAAATCTTGAGAGTTTATTGAAGTGGAGAACAATCATTCATTGTGATATATAGACACTTTCCTGATTCACATATTTTATAAAACACCTGAACCTAAACCTTTTTGGGGGGTTTTCTGGCTTAATGAGCGCAGTGGCCTTTAGGCTGCCCTGCAAGGCTTTAAACCTGGGTTTGAATGGCGACAAAGCCATTCTCAAGCACATATCAAGGTGCTCATTTTGAGCCTGGATCCATATTTATTTTTGATTACGTTCATGGTGGAGAATCCTGCTTCACAGCAGCAGGTTGAGACAAACATAC